TATGAGGACACTTTGAAACCTTGACCCACTTGCTTTACCCAGCAGAATGGAAAATGCAAGAGGAAAAAACTGTGAGTGAGCTCTAGTTCATAACATTCTTTGCTGGGCCTAGAGAGAAAGGAAAAACTAGTGAATAAAACTGTATTTCAATGTGAAGATCTAATGCTAAGAAATCAGGCCTCCTTAAGTTAGTGAAGGGAAGGGTTATGGGCTTACACCCCATAAAACACATACATGGAACTGTATGTTTTATGTACTCTCATGTCATATTCCCTCTAGGGCTAATGCTCTTTATCTCAAAACCTCAAACATTTTAGTAATTGTACCTTTTAGGTTTAAATGGATTAAATTTGCATGAGAAGGCCAGAACTGGATCATTTTAGTTGAGAATTAATGTTCAGTGAGCCTGCTTCTGCATTATATAAAACCTCTTGGTATTTCTAAGCATTGGGGTGGAATATCTGGTTCAAATTCTCCTATAACTCAGGAATTTAATTTCAAACAGCACTGTCATTGTTTATGTCTGTCTGTCTCTCTTTCTGTCCCCAAAAGATCTGAAAACATGAGAGAAAAAGATGGAAGAATCAAACTTTGACTACTTAAATTCATGATATTATCAGATAATTTTGATTGCTAGAAAGTTCTTGAAGGATGTGACTTTGATTCTTGTAAAGGATCTCTTTGCATGAAATTTATGATCCATGAAATATATACACAGTGGAGAAAGAGAACTGGAATAGCAAATTGTTTAAATCATTGCTCCATCTTAACTATAGAGCTCACAAAGTGTGAAGAAATTGACCAGCTCAAGAAAACATGAAAAAAAAAAAATTTTCTGTTCTGTTACTTTAAAGCCATTGCAACATTTTATGTAGTGAGAATGGTTACTTTAATAAGGACCCATGATGCTTTTGTTACAGTATTCAGCATCTGCATAAAATATAGCAGGATAATATTTTCTTGAACTTGGAAATGTATTCCTTCTAATCCAATCTCATGCAGTCATACTGCTTGAATATCAATCTTACTTTATCTTTCTTTTTTATTATTTTGCTCTCTTGTCAGTCTTTTATCATCTTTCACATTCTGCTAAACTCAAAAAGACATTTTCATACTTTTTTTTTTTTACTTTAAGCCAGTTCTCACTAAATTTTTTAAAACACTGAAAAAAAAATCCAGATACTTTGACTTCATGCCATCAAGTAGCCATGTCTATCCCCACCCTCCTTTTAAATTTAAGTGGATAGTTTACTTTCTGTCGCATGCAGTTTTTTAAATTATAAAATTTTTAAAAACCATCTTGCAATTTTTTTGTGTGTGTGCTCATTTCTACAGAAAATTTTATAAAATACTATTTACTTGTCTTTTACTTTACTGTTTCTAACAACTTTCTGGTTTTTCATATTATTCCCTCTGTTTTTCCAATAGACATCTTAACTCATTATTTTTTCACTATAACTCTTCTCAGTGTATGCCTTCTGAGTTCCATCAGTTTCCATGTGAGTTTAAAAATAATTTTAACTAACTTGAACCAATTGTAATATGTCTACTTTCTACATTCTAATTCTGCTTATTATTTTTTATCTTTTTATTATATTTTAAGCGACAAGAGTTTGAGTTTAAAGAAAGTAAAATAAGAAACAAAGGAATAATAATATCATGGGTTTAATTCCTGTTAGTAGTGAAAAAGGATATAGGTGAAAGGCAAGTTGTAGGAAGAAAGTGAACATATTAGATTTTGAAATAGTAAGGAACAGTCAGCTGTGTTTTCTAGTCTTTGGAAAAGCAAATTATAAAAAAATTTGAAAGAAAAGTTCACCATACTTCCTTAGCCAGATTATTGAGAAGCACAAATGCTGATGAACATTTGGATGCAATGAAAATGTAATTCTAATTATACTAATTTTAATAATTTTGCAAAACTCTCCAGACACTATTCCATGTGGTGTAATTCACTTTTAACAATTTTGAGAGTCAGAATGTGATCAATACTAGTAATCTTATCCTTACCCTTGTTTCTTTAAAAATTTGTAGATTGTATTATTTGTATATATATATATATATATATATATATATAGACAGTATTGTATATATGACTGAATATATATTATTATATATTGAACATATACATATGTATATCTTCCAAATATTACACATAATTTCTTATAATTCTTACATCCATTGAGAACCAACCATTTGCCTGAATAGGGATTCTTTGAAAGTCCAGGTTAAACAACGCTCTT